GTATTTTTCTTTTAGTGTCATAAATTAAAGTCTATTGAATACCGTGTAGGTTCATTAATTCTACAAAAAAAAACTCCTGTAAAGGGTCATCTTTACAGTCAGCAAAATTCTGTTGTTCTTATAAGCTAAGTTGTAGAGCGTCTTCATAAATCGTTAGCTTTTCTACAATTCTTCAACTTACTGTTTTATAACTTTACAGTCTTTCTTTGCTGCTCACTAGCATTATCTCAAAATTCCTCGTTATTGTTTCTAATTTCAAAAAAGATTACGACCTTTGTAAGCTAAAGTTTATAAATTACTTTTTCTGCAAAAGAAAACAAAGTTATCGTTGCTTTCTAAGCAGAAGCACTGTTAATACCAAACGAAAAAAATTTTTTTTCACAGATTTTTTTACACTCTCTCATAAAGTTTTCTCCCTCAAATTCTTTAAAAAATTTGCTGTACAATCAATACCCGGCAGGATTTGTGCTCCTACACTGATCAACTGTTGCTTTCTCAACTTCTAATTTACTAAAGAAATATGCAGCAGTTGCCTTTATAATCTTATTCGCTTTGCCATAGTCTTATACCTGAAGTTTCAAACCTTGTAACTCATCAACAATTTCATATTTCAGTTTTAAAAATCAAACTTCAAAAAATTTAGGTTTTACTGTCACTGGCAATCTGAGAGGTCCGTTCAACAAAATATTACACAGTACAATGGCATTCCTTCACACGAGTTTAGTTTTGGGTCATCACTTTAATTTACACGTCAAATTTGTTCATCGTCTAATTAATAGTCACGATCGTGGAATCGCGTTTTTGCTCCGCCTCTTAAGCCACGATACTTCAGTCTTGTCTAAGAGAGTTTTATGTACGGCACACATTTCTACAACTTAACTGCACTAAAGAAAGAAACTGGGGAAAACTGCTCTCACATTTTAATGGTAGACTTTGAGAAAAATTGTATACTGTTGTAACTAAGAGGTAGTGGTTGTCATAAGTTTCAATCAGGCAGCTTTAGTCTTACTGAGGTGATGTATAAAAACAAAATGACTACAGCTTAATACATTCTAATTCCTCCTTGTCGCATTTAAAAGAAAGTAATAATCAAGTATGGGACTGCCATGTTTTTACTCTTGGCTTAAGTAACATTCCTGTGGCTTAATTACTAATTTTGGTAAGAACTCTTTCAGCTAAGTATTTTTCGGAAAATATGGAAAGGATTTCATCTTTTGAAAGAGCTTTTGAGACAGCCGTTGCAGTACGACCACAAATAGGAGTTTTTCCACGACATTCATAGAAGGAACAATGAGTACACCATTCTGAGCCACTTTAATTTTCTAATGCTCAAGGTGCACAACTTTCTAAATTATTTTGATTGCAGTCCAAAATTTAAGCTTGAGACCATGTTGTGACTTTATAACATGTCCTCCAATTCTAACTTTCTTTCTTTATTAAAATAACTTTTGTGATAATGATAATTGGAAGAACTTTGAATACCGGTCGACAATTTTACAAAGGTAAAAGAGACGTCCAAAATATTTTTGGAGCTCAAATACACAGCAAAATTTTCTCTATTTCTCATTCTTGCTTACTCTTATACTTGTTATTTTTCAATGTTTTTAAAACTTAAGATCGATTTTGTTCATTTATGGTTCCATCCCTCAAAATCAAAAAGTTAGCCTTATTTGTCTTTGTTCTGAAATTTTTCACAACACTCCTCCTTCCGGCAGTTTTCGTACGGCAGTGCATTTCCAATGTAACTTTCCTATAAATAATGCAGTAATAGTTCAGTCAGAGAGTTAAAATGTCCAGTTTAATCTACTGCTTATTATTTATATCTAATTTCAAACGTAATTAAGGAATCTTTTTCACTCGGAGAGTAAAATAAACCACAATTGTCGTATAATAAAATTAAGACCAGTAAACGAAGTGTCTGTTGTACTACAAAAATCATTGTTTGCTGCGTTTGGAGGCTGACTTTTTTGCTATAACCATTAAACCCTGTGATTCACTCTTTTTCAGATACTTTTTTTTTTGCAGAGTTTGTCACTTGTTTAGGATCAAATGTTAAACTGAGATTTTTTTTACACGTACAAGATATTTTCTCCCAAAAACATCTGTGCAACTGCAGTATGAGTGAATAATGTTTGGCTGCTGCCCTCTTAGCAGATCAACGACGAACGAAAACCCATAATTTTAGATTCCTTTTTTTTTTTTTTTTTTTTTAT